CTTAAGAAACGTTTGACTACTATCTGGACATTATAAAAATTTTGCATGTGAAAGTTTGCATGTTGGATAGGCAACATGTAGAAAAAAAAAAAGGCATGAGAAAAACATTGCTTTACAAACCTTAAGACTTACTATAACAAGCACAAAATGGTTACGACATTGGTCCAAGGGACTGAGCCCATGCTGAAAGAGTTAAATGACACTGGTATCCCTAGCAGCCCTAAACATCCCTAGTTAAAAAATTCTCTGTTTCTGGTCATTTTAGGATATCTATCTGGTGATGAGGTATCATTGGACCTGATAAATAACTGGTTGTGTTATGGTTATGGGGAAATAGGAAATCATATAGATTAGATTTTTTTATAATAAAAAACCATCAGATGCAAGATTAAGCTATCTACATCTCCACACAGATAACAACAAATCTAGTCTTAGCAGGTACAGAGGATGTAAGGTCTTCATGTAGTAAGTCAATTACATTAAAAAAGTATATTTTGTTTGCTATTTTGTGTTAGCCATCAAGATGAACTGAACATTTTCTCAAAATTTCCTTAATATATCTTTTAGCATTCCTAACTGTTTTATGAAATTACATCTAAACTCAACTTTAGCAAATAAAAAATAACTGACTATACCAGACTACACAAAAAAATCAAAACATACAGACTGAGTGATAGCTGATGTCAACTTAATAGAATAAGTAAGCTTTTCCAAATCTAAGTTAATTTTTTAGATATTACTGTATTTTTAATAATTTTAGATTGGCTTCTACAAATTACTATATATCCTGTTTTTGTTATTTTTATACCAATATATTGTCAGAATCCATCTGACTTCACCATTACTCACAGGTAAATACATATATAAAATAACATACAATCAAAATCTTACAAAAGTTCAAAGACTCTAAATTCAACTGCTCATAATATTAAAACAAAAACTGAATCCAGTCAAATGCCTAATATCCAAATTATTTTACTAGTTGTTATAACCAAAATTTAAAAACATTTATCCTTATTTTACTAAAATTTGGGATGTGATACATACATACATTTACATGGTTTAAAATCACAAAAAATGTTATATGTAATACTCTGTTGTCAATAGCAATATGAATATTAATTAAAACCATAACCAGATTCTAATACGAAATAATACAGTTATATATCATCTTTATTTAGAAATATGATAAGATAAAAACATTACTAAAGTTGCTTGTCTAAAAGTGATACATACCTCACGCTTAATAGGTTCTCCTTCACAATGAATGACTGTGTCTGGAGCAACAATACAGTAAGGACTTGGATCTGTTTCAACCACCTTGAACTCTACTGCTCTCATCCCACCTCTTACACTGAATACATCACCCTTGTAGATGGGTCGATAAGCTTCCAAGAAATATGGCTTTAGGTACACATCAAACAGGTTCCTAAATGTATTAAAATTTATACTCATAAAAAGAATCTAAGTTTTGAAATAAAAATCTTATCAGTTATAACCATAGTTCATTGACATCCACTATAAACAACCTTGATTATGTGTAGTTTCAAAAATTATATGATTACCTGTACAACAAATACTATAATAGCTACAAAGGATTATTTAATATAGTTAACAGGAAATTTCAATGTTTCGTAGCATTTACAAAAGACTTAATATTACCTTTATATAAGAAACCACAAACATGGAAAGTACCAATAGGTTCCATGCACCTGGATGTCTGATTCAATCTGTATTCACATCTTTAAGAAAGTCTAAATACATACACCAAAATATCATCCACTCCAACACTCAAGGCAGCTAAAGAACACAGCATTTTTTAGTTTAGTGATACCCAATCATCCTCGAATCTGTGAGAAATAGCTTTATATTTAAATTTTCTGATATTTTAATCAAAGCAGCCTTAATGTTCCAATTATTATTTAACAACATTGTAAGTTTACATACATTATCAATAACTTTCATAGGTTTTTAATTAACAAACTTTTATAATCACCTAAAATATATTTATTGTTTGTTCAAACTCACTAACACTGTTAAAAATTCAAAAGAAATCTTACCCTGTTAAACCTTCCACTGTGTCATCAATTGGAAGGACATGAATCCTCTTTCCGTATTTTACATCTGGACATGCTTGAATGCTTTATAACATAAGCAAAACAGTATTAGCATGCATCAAAACTTTTGTTAACATATTCATATACTCATTGAGAACTTTAATAAGTCAATGGGTATTAATGTTCCAGCACCATAAAACTGTTAGTGAGGATAAAGTAGTTTTAACTTAGGTTAAATCTTATTACAAGCAAAGGTGAATTTGGCAGCAACTGTCTATTACAGTGTGACACATGTGTAGAAAGTCTTAGAGGACTTGTGTATAAAAGTAGCACAAATGGAAAAGGACGATGTTTCGAAATACTTCCATTTTTTATCTTCAGATCATCTTGTACTGGTTTGTAGAGTTCATATGCTATTTGGGAGAATTGAGGTGGATATGATGTGACTGTTTGGTGCTCCTTGTCCTGTGGTTGATGAATCAAGTGATGATTTGACCAATGGTTGCCAACTGTGTACACATCATACAGTGTTTGAAACAGAATGAGTACCTTTATAGTTTCTTCACCAATAGTTGGAAGAACATAAAAAAAAACAAAAACATGCATCAAAGTGTAGCCAAAAAGTTTAAAATTAACGTTTGCTGGAAATCTTATAGAACACTCAAATTCATTCTTGTCAAATCTAAACAAAGAACATCTAATGGCAACTACAAAAACATAATTTATGAAATATTGTGCTACTGTAAAAGACATACATCTGAGAAACTGAAAGACATTGTGGATCAAGAATAAAAGAATATAAAGACTACACAAGACTGATTAAAAAACAGAATCCTACACTGGCAGAGCATTCCATGTTGACTGGACATAAAAGAAACTAGGACAATTACAGGCTCATTAAATCAGATAAGTTCTGGAAACAAGAAAAATCAAAGAATCCTACTACATCAACACTATACTAATTAAAGACTCAGGCCTGACAATCAGCACCTTGTGGCTAACACTGATTAAATCATCACTTGCTCCACCAATCACAGAACAAGGGCCACCAAACAATCATGTCATGTCCATCTCAATCCTCCCATAGTATATAAACCCCTGAAAAATCAGTGCAAGATGTCCTGAAGATGAAGAATGGGTGCCTTTTAAATCCTTTTCCATCTGTGCTTCTTTTATAGATTAGTGTCATTCTGTACTAGGCAGTTGCTGCCCACTTCAATCACGTTTGTTCATCATGAAGACTGCCTAAATCATCTACAAATAAAAAGTAAAGTCTTACTACACTCATTATTTTATAGTATATCCACACTGGTTTTTTTAGATGAAACAATTTAAAACTAAACTATTTACATCAATCTTCTCTGCCATGTTTTATGACCAAATTTTAGTTTTTACTGACGGACAAAGTTGTTTAAGATACTTATGCAAGTTATTTGTGAATTTAAGCTACTACAGTTTTATATTGTCTACTATCATTGCAATAATAAGACTCGATTATAAAGTTACGAGTGCAAGCCTACTGAAATTATTGAAGAATTCCATTTTCAATCCCCTTCATTCTCTTCCAATAATCAGTGACCCCAAAGCAGAACATAAACCTATGAAGGAACATCTCAAAACATCTTCCAAGATGCTTCAAACAAACAACAGTGTTCTCATCATTGATTCTTGTGTACATTCATTTACAGTATTAAAACATTTTTTAAATAACACCTGTTTTTTAAATTTTCAAATATCTATAAAACTGCTTTGGAGTTTCTAGAAGTATATACAACATGAGATACCAATCTTAAGTTTTATGAGATTTTCTTAATAAGTACATGGACATAGTTTTACTAAAAGTAATAAACTTGCTATATGGTTGCATAACATGCAAATAAAACAAAATCATTTTGCTTATTTTCTATAAGTGTTTGATTGGTTTTTAAAAGACAGTGTTTAAATTACCATAATAGAAAATTACATTGCACATAAAACAAATTTTCACCTGACAACATCTCCAAGCCTAACTCTCAAATTATGACGAATACAGCGATTCATTCGAATTTTTTCATTTGAGCAAGAATCGTCAGATAGAACGATACACACAGTCTCTTTTCTTTTTTTACCCTTTAAAAGAACTGTATCTCCTCGAAACAACTGAAGCTCATCCATTTTGGCCTGAAATAATATTTTGATAAAGAAAAAAAAAGATCACTATACAATTGTAGGAGAAAATTAATAATTTTTTTATAACTTTTATCTGTACTAATAAAAATACCGTATTGCTCCTAATTAGCACCCCCTCCCCCAGTATTTATTAAAGCTTACCTTGTGTAACAGCAATAGTAATCCAACATGTAGTCCTCTTCTAAAATCCACTCTATTAATGTAATTTTGACAGCAATAGTAATCGAACATATAATCCATTTTTATTACCATAATTTTGATTTGAAAAAAAAACGAAAAAAAACACACACACACACACACACTTATTAGCATTGAAATCAACAAATCACATACAAAAAATAGAATCCAGAACTGCACAAATACTATAATTAGCACACACACCCATTTGCAGTTTGCACATGCCCCAGGGATGTTAATTAGGGGCAATATAGTATCAAACCTTTCATTATTTTTAATATTTTGTAATCTGATAAATTAATCACTAAATTGGCATTGTATATATTTCAGGTAGTAATTTTAGTGTAACAATTCAAACACATGTACTACAAGTGAAAAGTTTAGCAAAGATATCTTTACATATTTTAAGTTAATATTACCGTAATACATGTTACAACTAGAGTTGGGTAATGAACTTGATTAATCAACATATTTGATTACCTATGTACATCAATTACATTGATTAGTATCACGTATAAAAATTAATTGAATTTACAATTAAATCTATATGCGTCACAAAAATAATCAACTAATTAAAATTACTTTTTCCAATTATTACTCTTATTGATCCAAGAATCATGTGAGAAAAATCAATTAGTTGAATGTAATCAATTAATGAGCCCAACAATTAACCAATTATCAAATTCCACTAATCATCCAGCTCTACTAATAACATTCAAATAAAGTATTATGTCAACATGCTTTCTCAAGTAAACATTTTTAAAATCTTTTACCTTCAATTAATCATTTTTTGAGCCACGACAGGTCCTAATTCTTACTTGAATACACTGTTTGTATAAAAATGATGCAACTTAGAAAACAAATTAATAGAATAACAACTTCAACAGCATATAACATTGACTTTACTAGACAATTAAATGAATATTTTCAAGTATGATAAAGATGAAAGGTAATGTCACATTGGGAATGCTTAGTTTATAAACTGACACGCTGTGTATGTGTATTTGGTTTAGTTTTTTTTTCCAAATAAAAATTGAAGTTATATCCTGTTGTAGTTGTTCCTATTTTACTATTACTTCAACAATTAATTAGTTATCTTTAGCACATTCTAAAAGCTAATCAGACAGCACCAAGGTACTCCCTCAAACAGTATCGAGGACAAAACTAACAGAAGTAGGAAGGTACCCATCTCCTATGGTGTGGAAATTTTTATAAAATCAAAGTTCAAACAAATGTTTCTGGTGTACTTTGGGACACCGAATTCGACCATCTACATGTATCTTCATGTGGTCTATAAAATCATGTAAACACTACTCTTTCCCAGATTATTAAGCATTTATTACACCACCACAAGAAGATCTGTCCAACAGAAAGATTATGATATTTAAGCCAAATACTATAACTATGTACATATGCAAAATTTTGTAAATAATTCACCTCCAGAAGAGTGAAGTGCAATGTTGATTTTCAGTACTGATGAGTAAATACAAACAGTCATTTCACTTTACCTTTCATTAAATGGTTGTATGTAAATAACAGAAAACACAAGTAAGACAATCTAAGTAAAATGGCAGTAAACTGTCATTGAATAGTGATATGTGCATTAGAATGCAGTCAGGTATAATAGTTTGTTGCTGTTTTTTTTTCTTTCTTCCCAATGATCCCAACAGAACATTTGTAAATGGCACTGAATACCAGTTACTATTTTCAGTAGTGTCAGCCAAACCATACATTCCCTGATTTGGGAGGGTGGCAGAAAAACTTTTAAGCACTGATATATCATTGATACATTTCAAACCCACCTTTAAAAACAATTACAGCTGCTCTGAAAGTATGTCCAAGTGTTAGCTACTCTACTGTTGAACCAAAAATTACTAAATGATTTATATTGTTACGATTGCGGAAGTCACGCGATGCTGGGAGCATGCGCGCTGGAGTTTCTGGAAGGATCATGAATTTTCCTGACAACTCTAGTTTGTTCGAGGTGCCCTCTTTTTTTTTAGTATATAAGCCTGGCAAAGAAAGCCAGCGATATAGACAGATAAATGGCACAAGCAGATAGATTGAAGAGATAGATAGATAATTGAGTCAAGAGAACAGTAGGCACAGTAGGTAAAGTGTGTGAATCACTGTGATTTATAGCATGTGTTATAAAAGTTGTTAAGTGTATTACAAAGTTTGTATCAAGAAAGAATAAACTAGTTTTAATCAAGAAGGAACTTGTATCGCTGAAGTTTCTCCAAAAGAATTTTTACCAGAACTTATCAAACAAGCAGATACGTAACAATATGATAATGACACTTACTTAATTCTCCAAAATTGAATGTTAATCATATCATACATAAGTTTCATACCTGAGACAAAGAAATAACAGAGTTATCATCGTTGATTGCTTCTTCAACCAGCAAACGATTTGGTTTATGTTTTGTTTTCAAAATTGCTGTAGCTAATTCCTCTGGACTGAAAGATATACATATGCAAACACATAATAGTCTTCATAAAATTTAGTTTTTAAAAACTGAATTCAACAGATAATTTTTTTCCCAATTACAATTTACAGCCATTATGAAATTTATATTAGGTCAAATTTAAATAACCTAATTTTAAAAAATCATAATGCAAACTCCTGACAATTTTCATATGAATTGTATTTTGCACAATACATGGATGCAGTGGCTAGATACCAAATACCAGCAGTCCAAAAATGTGAATACTGAATTGATAAGCTGTGATCACCTCTCAATTAACTTAAGAGATTGAGTAGGTTACGTGACTGACTTGTCTTTATACTCGATGAAATGATCTGAATAAAACTTTTGCACTGGAAAAATACATATCGATCATCATTATAGTTTAGTGTTGATCAGCATGTTTGGTACAACAGTACAAGCTGCCATGAGCAATCATGAATATTGATAAGCTTCCAATACGATAATTTATATTATATATATAACTTGTGATGTAATTTTTTTGAAATTATCATTATTATTATTAAAATCATAATTATTATTATTACTATTAAAATTATTATTGTTATAACTCATCTCTATTCAAATTTTTGGACTGCTGGATATTCTGTATTGGAAAGATCGTTTCCGGCTAACAAGTATCTAGCCACTGCGATAAATTATTAAATGGAATGTCCTTGTTACTAGTAGTACTAGTTTTGAGAAAGTTATATCAGACACTTTATTACTGAAATTAAAACACATAAAAGGATGATGAATAATCGCATAATTTAAGTTTTAACACTTATCAAATTTCGTACATAGTGCCAGTGCCAATCGAATCTGAATAATAAAGTTTTTACCGTTTCCCTCTTAGTCTCAACAAATATATATATATAATAAAACTATTCTAGTTACTTACTTTGTTTTATTTTCAGCCATAGTATGTCAACAATACAGAATTTTTGTCTTCAGACTTCTATTGCAATATATTTTCTACAAATTATTTATAACAAAGCAATGCCCGATTGAAAAATTGATGACAACACAAAAGCATCGGTAAACCTTTCGTGGGAATGTTTACAGGCCCGTAAATCACTCTTTTATGACGTTTCAGAATCTAATTAGTTGAATATTTTGATTAAGCATCATAAAATTTTATACAATGTAAATTTATTATTTTTTAAATATATATAATGTAATATAAATTAAAAGTTATTTTAGTAATCAAAAATAAATTAATATATGTAGTCTACTGACGTCACTCTGCATATGACAGTGATACTGATAACACTAACATTAGTAAACACTATGGCGGGTATTAAGGGTAAGGTAATTTTTGATAAAAATTGAAATTCATTCATAGTTGCATGTACTAAAACTTTATTCCAAATATTTTTGCTATTTAAACGTTAATCCGCAAGAAAAATTAGAAAAATTGTTACTATTATTTAACATAAGTAAACACTTTGCCAGGTGTCTAGGATAAGGTAATTTTAGATAAAAATATAAATTCAATTATTCATTCATAATCATTGTTCCATACATCAAAGCATTATTGAAATATTTGTACTATTTAAGGGATAATCTGGAACGATTTTAGGAAAAAAATATTTTAACTTTTTGGAGCCAGTAGTTTGAGTAAAGCATGATGACTAATTCATTTACTAAATCAGTAAATGACTTAGTCAAGTTAGTAATGCGATTTTGACAATGACAGTTCACTGTTCGGTTTATCAATATCGGTTGTTACGGTGTCGTTAATTTAGGCGTAATTAAGTTATTTAACTTAAAAGTACACTATGTCATTTATAATCTAGTTAATGTCTTTGGTATTAAAATTTATGTTGTAAGAGATGCATGTTTTTTTTGGGGGTTATATCAGTATATGTTTGAAATTTGGAGTTGTTAAATTTGTATTTAGTGATAAATATTAAAATACAGTTCAATTTGTAATTTTTTGTTAAACTCAAAAGATTAAAGTCAAGTTATGAATTAATAAAATTATAACTTCTGCAAGCTGTTCAAATTCCATCTCTTTTTACACACATCAAGTTAAAACAGTTACTACTAATGTTAATTGACCTCCAAGTTTAACTAGTATATAAGGAGTGTGTGTTTTCATATTACACAATGAGTCAGCTAACTAATAAAGGTTACAAAAGTTATATCTAAGTATAAGGAAATAAAGTATTTAAGACATATTTTTAATATTTTTATATATTATGTTTATTATTCACAGATAAAGATTATTCAGGGTTATATTAATTTTTTCTACCTTTTTTCTCTTTTTTTTCTATCTCCATTTTTCATACTTCACTGATACATGAACTGACAGGGTAAGTATGTTATGGTATAGTTGTTTTTTTAATGATATTTTTTCATTTATTTAAATTCCAAGAAGTTTGGGAAATGTATGTACTGTGTTTATTAGATTACATTTTAACCATTTTTATTTATGATGATACAGTTAGTAAAATGCCTTATTAGAATTTATTTTTGTTTGCTAACATTTTCAGAAGTTACTAGCATATACTAGTATTACATGTATGTATAATTACAATGCAAAATTACTTAAAGTACTAATTGCTTTTATAATTGATTTAATGAATTTTTTCTGATATCAGTGCAAAAATAAAGTTTGGGATCTACTTATTCAAGGAGACAAACAACACGTGCATGTAGGAACCACTCATCCTGTCACTAGTTTCAATAAACCCACAACAATGTTTTAGGTCTAGATTCAAAGAGCCTCTTGACTTTTTGGCATGGGGATTTTAGGAAATGTAGCAAGGTGTATAAATGAAAAAAAATACTGTCATGCTAAACTGTAAACTTTATCGAAACAAAATGGTTATGATTGGCATAAATGATACAACAAAACTGCTATGATTTCTACATTTCAACAAAATTCACTATTGATGAACTTGTAAAATGAATAAATGATTTTATTCAATCTCAGATTGTGAATCGCCTCCACTAATAGTGATTTGTGGGAAAGTTGGGTATCTCCAAGTTTTGAATTGATGGTGGCTGACTTGTGGTGCTGGCCCTTCCTATCCTAATGATGTCTCTTTTCACATGCCCAGATGTCTTAGTCAACTGCTTATTGCATCATCTGCTTGAAAGCTATTGATAGATACCTCTATATGTTGAATTCTCATTACATTCTTCTAAAGAGTAGTTTGTTTCATTTTAGACCTGTATTTTTTTATTTTTTAGACCTCAAATTTAATTGATAAGCAAATTTCATTAATTGCATAACTCCTTTTAGAATCTACTAATTTTGACCTCAATACTTCCTGTGTTATTATAACTAATTCTAAACCATTATCAGTAGCTGCTAATGTGCTATTGCACCATTCAAGAAAAAAATATCACAAAACACAGTTTTAGCCTTGCTTGAACCTCACATATCTAACATGAACCACTTTATGTTCTGTAATACTTGTATCAGTACTGTCATCAGCCAATACATATAGAGATCTTGTGTCCTTTACTTCATTTGTAGTATTTTTTTCTCTTTGTCTCAGCTGTGCAGACTACAATTTTTTTTTTCAAACCTTATCATTCCTATGCCTTCACATGTTCTTTTCTTGGAATACATAGAATCCCTCCATTGTTTCTAAGTGAACCAAGAAATATGCTATATACAAGTTTCCTCTATCAACACTAACTCTTCAGGCCACAGTGTTGAAGAGTTTTGCATACACCCATAAAATTCATACAAAGTGAGGACTTAAAAGGTTTGCACACTAAACTTTTGGAAAGAGAAGGCAGTACTGGATGAAATCTCTGGTTACAATTTAACCACCATGGGGTTAGTATCTAAGTTAGAAATGAAGTAAATGTTTCTCAAAGTTGCCAGTTTTCAAATTATCTGTATACATTGGCCACATAATCACTTATGTAAACACAGAACAAACAAGGTTGAAGAACAAGTTAGCTTAATAATAATCTTCCAAGATATTTATTGTAATAAAAATCTCAGAGGATCCTGCATTACCATACGAGGATTATCATTTAAATCACGTTTATTCAATTGAACATAAATACAGGTATCATTAACTTTGAGGAGCAATGTAGACTAGCTATTACTTGCTATCTGTCATCAGTTACACCTGAAACAACTGCTAATGAACATAGAGATAAAATTTATCTTAGTTCCTCTTTACTGACAGAATTATTGAGCTAGTTAGATTGAAATTCATCTCAAATAACACTTTTTTATAAGTGTTATTACATAACACTTGTAAAACTAAATACCTACTATTAGCCATTCTTACATGAGGAGTATTGCAAGTAGAATTTTTAATTATAATAATGGGTTAAATAACCAATGAGGAATTGCATATCACTGTGAATGTAATTTATTTCCTTACATTTATTCACTAATTATCCATGTATTCATTGTTAACCATAACATCATAAAAAATAATGATTTGCAACATTTAATGAGAAAAAGGTCCTACGTTTTTGAATTTCCTAAAATTTCTTGAAACTGAACTAAAAAAGTAATAATTAAATCATTCAATAACATATTGCACAAATGATGTAAAAAAAAAGGGAACTTAGAATTAATCTTATTTAAGGAATACCTAAATAAAGTGGTTATCCAAGCTATCACATATTTTCAGTGTAGATGATCTATTAGAACCTTACTTCACCCACCAAATTTCAAGGCAATCCATTAAGAAATACATGATACATAAAATCTCCAATTTTGATTGAATTTTTCCTATCTTTTTTTTTTTTTGCACTGAAAGCATGGGAATTTTATTTGATAGAAAAACATATTCTTTGGGATTTTTTTCAAATTTTGTACAGTTAGATGGGTGTCAAATTTGATTTAAATATAAGCCACATGTGCAAAGTTATTCAACAAAACCTGCTCACATTGGACCAAAATTTTTGCACATGCCTACACAACTAAGAGTAAAAGTGGACTATTTTTTGTCATTTGGCTTAAAGACAGCTGATTTAGAGCAGCAAAACTATAGAGTGAAAGAATGTGCAGATACATAAGTATTGGTTAGGCCAAGCAAATTAGATTATTAGTTTCGAGCTCAAGTTTTCAATAGAACCATACAGGTGAATGGTTATTATTCATTGCCAACTTTTAAGCACAAATTTGATGACATTCTCCTAATTAAAAAGCATTTAGCACCACATAATATTAGCTTAAGCAATTAACATAAATAATTATGCCTGATATGGCTGTAGAGAGTGCATGTGGGTGATGAAAAGAAACTATTAATCTAGGTTCCATGGTGTTACTGTTAAGGAAGTTTTAGAGAGGAAAAACTACTACCACATTATTTTAAAGAATCTAGTTGGTTCTGTAAAGTATAAGTCTATTCTGAATAATAGAGTTGCGGTCCTAAAGCTAATGTTGGTTACTATCAAGTGTCATTTTTTTACTTGCTGTGGTTTGTTGTCAATTAACAGGAATACAAAATATAGATATTAATGTTAAACATAAATATTCAAAAATATATTTGTAAAACATTAAACCAGAAACTTCTATATGAAAATCCTAAAAGTTTTGGCATAATATTTATACATTTAAAATATTATACTTGATAAAACTTTGATAAATCTTTCAGGTTAATAGCGCTAGCATTCTTGGGCTCAGTTGGAATGACCTTTCTAGTTCTTGCATGTGCTTTACCTCAGTTTAAGTAAGTATTGACACTGGTATGCTTTTGTGATATGTAAAGAACTATAATTATAAGGTAAAATAATGATTATCCAAACTTAGTTCCTTTAGAATTAACTGTGTCTTTAGAGTTTATATGTATATATATATATATATATGTGTGTGTGTGT